AGCTTTTGGGTGTTGTGTGAAAGCGAAGCACGATGGGGTTCCTCTGGATTTTGCTCTCAGTGCTGGTAGCTGCCCCTCCAGCATCCTGCTCATCACCAGAGGGCTCTGCTGCTGCTCCATCTGCCCTGCAAAGCCTCTGGGAGAGGTGGCTGTGTCTGCTATTGATTATTTTTAACACTGAACTTGATAAAAAAATGGCAAAACCAACATTTTAGTGACACATGGTGCTGCTGGCAGAGGTTCTAACCTGCACCTTTGCACAGCTCTGGCTGCTGCAGGAAGAACTCAAACACAGGAGATTTAAATCTGGGCCCTGCTCAGTGTGTAAGGGTTCACAGCAGGATGGATTTCTGTGCTCTGCAAAAATCTAGTGGAGGAAAGAAGGAAAAGGGCTCCTCCAAAGCTCTTCCCTTTCCCTCTCCTCTGGTTTTCTGAGGTCTGGCAAAAAAAAACAAAAACAAAAAACAAAAAAACAAAAAAAAAACAAAAAAACCAATTGAGGTTGGATTTGGCCATCCTAAAAGTGTTTCACAACCTCAAAGATTCTGTGACTGCTGTGGAATAAAGTTGTTTTAAACTCTGCAGAGTGGTTGGTACTGAGGCTTTCTGCTGGATGAGGCTGTGCTGTCCTGGCTTTCTTTGCCCTTCATGTTTTTTCCCAGCCCCACGTGCTCAGGGTGGTGTCACACAGGGATTTTACTTTCCTTATGGAGCATCTGTCCCAGAGACAAGGGGGGTTTTCCCTTCCCTCAGTGAACTGATGAAATCCCTTCCTTCAGCACAGCACTTTTCCTCTCATCTTTTTAGGCTGGAGTAGTTTCTGCAGGGCAAGCACAGAGGGTGGGCAAGAAAAGCACCAAGGGATTTTGGATTTTGATGGCAACGAGCCATGGGGGCTTTGGCCCCTTCTGCACCAGCATTTGGGGTCACTGTGGGCATTTCTGCTGCAGTTATTTAATCACATTTCCACAAAGGATGCTCCATAAGGGCCCCTGGGCACCAGGCTGCAGAGGAGGATGGAATTTCTATCAAGTTCAAAGCCAGGGGGAGTGTGAGGACTTTTGTAAAATCTCAGTTGACACAAATTGCTACGAGACTCATTTAACGCTCGAAAAGCAACTTATGCTCAGATCTGAATGTCAGCCTCAAAGTGCTTCTCATTTCCTCATCTTTAATCATGTTAAAGCCTCAAGCCTTAGCAGGGTTTTGCTCATCTACAGCCTCAGCATGAGAAGCTGGGTGAAGATTTTTGGGGTGGACTTGCAGCTCTTCCTGGTGCTGCCAGGGCAGGAGGGGCCTGGGTGAGCTGCAGTTTTCCAGGAGGAGGAGGAGGAAGCTCCAAAAGCAGGAGTTTTGCTTTGGTGCTTTATAGAAAGAACAAAAGGAGGATAAAGAGAGCAAGCCCAGACCTGCTGGTACACATGAGGGTTCATGTGAGCAGCAGGGGTGGTGCTCCTTATCCACTGGTTTTCCTTTCTTTGCCATCAAACTTGAGGTGCTGAAGTTCTCAGCCTTCCTCTGATGGAGTGTTCCCCCAGTGCTGGGGCAGAGTTATCTTTGGGGAGGGGGAGATGGTGATGCTGCCAAGGAAGCTCTGGAATGAACCAAACCCCCAAAAGGGCAGGAGGAGGAGGAGGAGGAGGAGGAGGGGAAGGAGGAGGAGGGGAACTTTTCATCCCTGCTCTCAGAAGTCCTGGGATGATATTGCTCAAGTCTGGCAGGTCACAGAGGAGATTGCCATTGCCTGATTTTGCTGTGATGCCCTTTTTTTATTGTGAGGAGAGTCAGAGGTGACTCAGCCCCCGGAATTCAGGGCTGGAGCTGCAGTGGCACCTCAGGGAAGTGCCAGGAGGGGCTCCACAAAGGCTCCTCAAAGCCTGATCCCCAGCTCTGAGCAGAAAAGGAGGTGATGCTGTCACAGCTCCCCAGGCTGGGAGGTTGCACAGGCAGAGATGGTGGCTGGATTTAGCGCTTTGGGATGGTGCCAGGCACGGCCCCCGTGGCAGATCTGCAGCCCAAACATTGCACACTGTGGGTGCTGCCAGTCCCACACACATCAGGCCACAGGAATCACAAGGCAGGGAAATGTGGCTGTGGGTTGTTCTGCTCTGGGAAGGGAAGTGCCTCTCTCACGCCATGGAGCTCCTTGCCCTCTAGATTGGTTTCCTCCAATTAATTTACCATCAGGAAGAGAGCAGCAGCTTTCTGTTTATTATTTTCCATCGCTGCTTTAAAGTTATTCAGTAATCCAAATGACTGCTTTAAAGGTATTTCACTTTTGGAGATCAGTCATCTATTGCAGTGGGGTGTTTTTCCACAGCTCTGTAGCAGCTGCAGTGAGGAACATCAACCTCCCCCAGGCAGACCCAGCCACTGTCAGGTATCATGTGGCTCCTGCCATTGGAAAAATGCTGGGAATTCGAAAATGGGGAAAGCAACTCGTGCCTGGAGTGTCTGGCTGCAGTGAAGGGCAAGTTGAGAGCACATCCCCCAGAAATGGGGTGGTCTCATGGCTGATCCACCCCCCTGGCTCCTCCATCTCCCACCCCCTGGCTTTGCAATTTGGGGCTTTAAATCATCCACGGCACCAAGGAGGGTTTTGTTTTACATTGAGGGTTCTCTAAAGCAAACAAGATACTTGGGAGTGCTTAAAAATAATTCAAACCCACGGAATATATTGATTTTTGAGGTGTGACTCATCCTTTACCCTCTTTGGAAGAGCCAGGGTTGCATGGCCGGGCATCACAAGGCTGTGAGTGAGGAGATCTGTGTCTTACATCTCCCTCAAAGCCGGGCTGTTCCAGCCCTGCTCTGCTTGCTCCTGGCAATAAACCAACCTTCCACTTCCCTGCATCCCAGGAGGCAGAACAAACCAACCTTCCACTTCCCTGCATCCCAGGAGGCAGAACTGTGAAGCTCAGTGGCCACACCTGGGTGTCCTGTGAGTCACCATGGGATGAGTCAGATGAGGAGCATCCTCTGTGTGCAAAGGGCTCCAGCACCCACCCCCTGGATGCTGAATCATGGAATTGTGGAATGGTTTGGGCTGGAAGGGACCTCAAAGGTCATTTTGTTCCCTGGGCAGGGACACCTTCCACCAGATCACACTGCTCCAAGCCCCACCCAGCCTCACTCACCATCCTTGGTGCAGCTTGGGTTATTTAAATTAAGGAATTAATTAGATCTGGGTTTGATTTCTGTATCCACCGACTTTTGGTCAAATATTTTTCTTTATCATCATGTGCTGGGTTGGACTCTATGGTCTTTGAGGTCTCTTCCAACCCATTCATTCTGTGGAGTCTGTGTCTTGCATAACTGAAAGTACAAACCTTAGGGCATTGGAGCAGGAATAAAAAGCAGGCAAAGCTTTTTGGTTGATGTTTGAAGCCTTTGAGTAAAATCCTGAAAATAGCAATACAAGTTTTCCATTAAAATAGCTCTTCCCAAAGACATCTTGAGGGAGTCTTAGGGAGGAAGGGAAAAACCTGTGCTCTAAGGAATTCATACACCCCTGTCTGAGTTACAGGCTCAGGAAGCTGCAGCTCCTCATGCCCTGGATCAGGGATCCTTCAGCTTTACTGGCTTGAATCCTCTCCAGGTCCCTTTGCCCTAAAACACCTCCAAGGATATTTCAGTGTCTGTTTACTGGGATGGGTGCTGTGAGAGGCAGCTGAAGCAGCACTCCCTAATTAAATGCATTTCTTAAGTACTATTATTCTTAATATCTATTACTTAATACATATTAAGTATAATATACATATTTCCCTGAAATACTCAATTTCCAGCCATCCTCATGAGCATCCCTGGCATTTTTACACCCTCAGGTTTAGTCTGAATCCCTGTGACAATATTACACAAAGCTGAAGGATGTTAAAATCCAGGCTGGAGCCCCAGTGGAGAGGAGGCTGCCCTCTTTTAAGATAGGCAGAGCTGAACCAGACGAATTTATCCTAAAATTAATCAGAGCCAAAGTCAACAGATTTTTTTTTTTTTTTATATATCTGCTGTAGCTGAGCCCTTTAGCTGAGCTGCTGCCTAAAAGCAGCAGTTTGTACCTCTGTAATGACACCAATTAGAGGTAACCTTTGGTCAGCCCTGAATTGTTCAGGGAGGTGGATTACATGGTCATTGTGGGTGTCTTCCTACTGAAATCCTCTCCTCTGTTTGATTCTAATCTAGTCCAGTCTATTCCATTCCATTCTAACTCCCTGCATTTCTTTTCCTTCCCTTTCCCTTCACACAGGATTTCAGCACAAAACCACTTTGTTCTTTTCCATTGCTTTAAGCTGTGGAGCCCATGGAGCAAACCAGAGATGATTCACCCTCAACCTCAAATAAAACCGGGCTTGTTGAAATTCCAGCTGCCTCCAACAGCTTCCCAGAACCCATCCTCTGCGTCGGGTGAAAGCAAAGCTTTTTTGCCTTCTATTTTTTTCGTGGGGAAAGGAGAAAATGTTCAGAATTAAAAATCCAGTTGGTGCTTTACCGAGCCGCACCAAAGCTGGGGGGATGGAGCCGTGAGCCACGCGGGCAAACATCTGGCAGGGAGAAACATCTGGCAGGTGGGCAGGGCGGGGAAAACGGGAACAAACAGCGAGGAAAACCAAAATTTCTCCGTTAACATCCCCCGCTGGTGATGTCACCGCTGACAGGGGGAAATATTCGGCTCTCGGGGGCTGTCACGGGTGTCCCCGGCGCTGGCACCGCCCCGGCCCCGGCCCCGGCCCCGGCCCCGCCCCGGGCGGGTCCCGCCGCGTCCCGGAGCCGGAGCGCGGAGCCGCCGCACGCAGGTGAGGGGGTGAGGGATCCCGGGGGGGAACAGGGGGATAAGGCACAAAAATCCTTGGGAAAGAAGGGATTGGGGCGCCCTGGGAGAGCGCGGTGGGACAGGCGTGAGCTGTCGCGGGCTCTGCGGCGCGGGGAGCACGGGGAGCCCCGGCTGGAGTTAGGGGGGATGGAGGGGTGACTGTGGGGTTGCTCCGGGGGTGTTTGCAGCTCCTGGGGGCTGGACAGCCCTCAAAGCCCTCACTGATTTTAGGGGTGATGGAGGGGTGGTGGCTGCGGGGCACCTCCGGGGGTGTTTGCAGCTCCTCGGGGCTGGACAGCCCTGCCCGTGCCCCAAAATCCTTGCAGGGTGAGGAAAGAAGTCCTTATTGTAATAAGTTGACATTGGAAGACGGAAGATACTGACTGGACTTTGTAAGAAATGCTTTTATTTTTCTATCCTTTCTATTCTATTTTTATTTTTCTAGTCTTTCTATTTTTCTATTCTATTTCTATAAAAAATAATTTTATTTTTCTATTCTGCCAGTTACGTGTAGGAGTGAATAGGTTTATTTGAATCCTGCAGGAATAGCACCAAAGGGGAGAGAACTGGTGTTTCTTTCCCAAATAGTAGGTTTTTCCACTTGATGTGAGCATAGGGAATGTTTGGGGTCAGCTCTGGGATGTTTCCTGCAGCTGATGCTCTGCTGGGGCAGGGAGAGCTCAGGTGAGCTCGAGCTCAGCTGCCCAAATGCTGCTGGAAATCAGAGCTCAAGCCCTCTGTGAGGAGTGGATGAAGGAGCTGGGGAAGCTCAGCCTGGATAAAAGGAGGCTCAGGAGGGACCTTCTCACTCTCCACAACTCCCTGCCAGGAGGGTGGGGCTGGGCAGGATTCAGGCTCTGCTCCCCGGGAACAAGAGACAGGATATAGGGAAATGGCCCCACGTTGCACTAGAGGAGGTTTAACTGAATATTAGGGGAAAATCCTTCGTGGAAAGGTTTGTCCAGCCCTGGCACAGCTGCCCAGGGCGGTGGTGGAGCCCCCATCCCTGGAGGGATTTAACAGCCGTGTGGATGTGGCACCTGGGGACACAATGCTGCGGGAATGGTTGGATTGGATGGGCTTAGAGGGCTTTTCCAGCCCCACTGGTGCTGTGATTCTCTGCAATCCATCACTGGGTGCTGCTGAAGAAGGTGTGGGGGGGGAACCCCTCCCCATGGCAGCAGCAGATAACCCAGAGGGCATTTCCAGAGAGCTGCAGGAGCTGCAGCACTGCCGTGGCACAGAGGAGGTGACACTGGCTCCAAGCCTGGTGGCAGGGCATTAGTGGTGCCAGGGGATTCCTAGGTTTTGGGGGTTTTGGGTACAGCATCCAAACTGCCCAGACATGTCCCCAGACACGAGGGGGACACGAGGCTCAGGCCAGCCTGTCCCCTGGGGGCCTGAGGGAACAAAGCTGCAGCTGCCAGGGTGTGCCAGGGGCATCGTGCAGGACAGGGAGCAGCACAAGGCTCTGCACCCCTGGTTTGGCTGTGTGTGCACCCCTTCTTTGGCTGTGTGTGCTCCCCTGGTTTGGCTGTGTGTGCCCCCCTGGTTTGGCTGTGTGTGCTCCCCTGGTTTGGCTGTGTGTGCACCCCTGGTTTGGCTGTGTGTGCACCCCTGAACTGGCTGTGTGTGCACCCCTTCCTTGGCTCTGCTTGCACCCCTGGCTTCACCTCTCAAACCACAGCAAACCCGAGGGCTTTAGGAAGAGTCCAGAAGGCAAATGAAGTTTTGGGTTATATGGGCTGCTCAAACACTCCGGACCACTGGATTTCTGCCTTAAAAACCCCGTTTTTAAGGGCTCAGGAGAACGAGTGTTTTGCAGGGAGAGGATGATTTGCTTGCTGTGAAACTGGGGGTTTGTTATTCCCGGGGCAGGGCAGCCACACCTCCTCCTTTGTGCATCTGAATGTTTCTTTCAGAGACAATTCACCTTCTCTCTGCTTTAAATTTGGAAATTTTCTTTCCTCATTTCTGGCTCTCCCTTTCCCCTTCTCTTATGAATGCTCCCTTTGATGGGAGGAACCCAGCTGGGGCTATTCCTGTGCACAGGCAGGTGTGTGTTCGCCGTGTGTTTGTGGACTCACAAAACTTGCAAAGCAGCTTTTATCTGCTGGCCCGGAGCCGCCGTGTCCCTCCCACGGTGCCCTCCGGCAGGAATGGGACAGCTCTGGATGCACGGGACAAAAAGGGACATGGATGGGTGGCTGCCACCCTCCTCTGCCCATCCCAGGCCATCCCGTGTGTCACAGGGCGGCTCCGTGTCCCCAGTTTGCAGCTCCCGGCTGATGCTGCCCCTCCATCCCCCGGGGATCCCCTCTGGGGTTTTTGTATGGAAATGGAAATCCTGGATGGCTCCTCAGGGCCGGGGAAGTGAATAACGCTGGGAGTGTTGTAAGCTCGGTGGTGGATTTCATCCCGAGGGTAGCTGGGCTGGATTCACCCCGGGACATTCAGGCTGCCTCCCGTTTATCCCACAGGTTTTGGACCAGGATTTGCTCTTTGGCACCGGAGCTGTCAGCTCTGCTGGGCAGGTACGCGATGGCAACTCGGCAATTCTCATCAAGTGCCACTCTAAACTGTAAATCCCCTCAAAAATTCTCTGGTTTTGGATGGGGCAGGTTAAAGGTTAAGAATGACTGACACTTTCTTGGTTTTTTTGTTTTTTTTTTTTTTCTCTGGTTTTGGATGGGGCAGGTTAAGAATGACTGACACTTCCTTGTTTTTTTTTGTTTTTTGTTTTTTTTTAGGAAAAATGTCAGACGGTTTCTCTGTAAGTATGGATTTCTCTAAAAACCGTGGGGGCTGTGGCTGTGGCCTTGAAGCAGAGACCTTTGGCTGGGGTGGGAGGGAACACGTCCTTGCTAAGCTGCTCAGTCCCCAAACCCTCTCCAGTTCTGTCAGCAGTTTTCTGGAAAAGCCCAGGGAGCAGCAGAGAGCTGAGCTCTGCCCTTGGCCATGCTGCAGGCCACCAAAATGGACTTTGTGCAGAGGAGGCAACGAGGGTGGTGAGGGGCTGGGAACACAAACCCTGTGAGGAAGGTTTGAAGGAGCTGGGGTTGTTCAGCTGGAGAAAAGGAGGCTCAGAGGTGACCTTATTGCTCTCTACACCTTCCTGAAGGGAGGCTGTACACAGGTGGGGTCGGTCTCTTCCACCAGGCAGCACTGACAGAACCAGAGGACACAGTCACAGCTACGTCAGGGAAGGTATAGGTTGGATGTTAGGAAAAAATATTTCACTGAAAGAATAATAAAGCACTGAAATGCTCTTCCCCGGGAGGTGGTGGAATCACCATCTCTGGATGTGTTCATCTAGGCTGGACATGGCACTTGGTGCTATAGTCTAGTTGAGGTGTTAGGGCATAGGTTGGACTCGATGATCTTAGAGGTCTCTTCCAACCTCATTATTCTGTGATTCTGTGATTCTGTGACTTTGGAGAGCTCAGTGTGATCCCAGCAGGAATCTCCCCCAGCTGACCCTTGTCCTCTCCTCTGTCCCCAGTTATCTGATGCCTTGGCCAACAGCAACAACCCAGCCCCCTGTGCCCCCCCAGCCCAGGGCTGGCCCTCCTGGGGCAACCAGCCAGCAGCTCCTGGTGCCTTCCCAGGGTATCCTGGAGCACCTGGAGCCTACCCTGGAGCACCTGGAGCCTATCCTGGAGCACCTGGAGCATACCCTGGAGCCCCAGGAACCTGTACTCCAGGACCTGGAGCATACCCTGCAGCACCAGGAGCTTATCCTGGAGCACCTGGAGCTTATCCTGGAGGACCGGCAGGACCAGGAGCGTATCCAGGAGCACCTGGAGCATTCCCTGGAGCTCCACCAGCAACAGGGCCATATCCTACCCCAGGACAACCATCCAGTGGCCCTGGGTTTGGGCCTTCTGCTCCTCAGGGAGGACCAACAGCTCCCCAGGGAGGACCAACAGCTCCCCAGGGAGGACCAACTCCTCCAATGGTAATGGATCTATCATGATGAGGGTTTGTGTGCCCTCAGTGGCTGATTTTGCTTGGCCATGGGAAGGGACTGGGCTGGCTGTCCCCAGGGGTGGCACTGGGCTTTTGACGTGGGTTTTTTCCTGACACCAAATGCCTGTTGTCTCCCAGAAAGTCCCCTTTGAGCTGCCCCTGCAGGCAGGACTCGTCCCTCGGCTGCTCATCACCATCACTGGGACTGTGAACCCCAACCCAAACAGGTACTGGGGGGTCCAGCTCCGAGGGTGGGGGGATTCCATGGGCACTGCTGGGTGGAGCAGGGGGGCTGGAATTTGTTTTCTATTCCTGAATAACCCCTGCCTGGTGTAACACCAAATATTACACCAAACAAACGTGTAAATGCCCTGTTGCCCTATGGGGTCTGTGGGGTTTTATCTCTGCTATTTTTGGGAAGCCCTGTAACAGATTTCAGGGCTTTTGTGGCAAAAGCAGAAACTCCATTATTGTTTTTGCAGGTTTTCACTGGATTTCAAGAGAGGGAATGATGTTGCCTTCCACTTCAACCCCCGCTTCAACGAAGACAACAGGAAAGTCATTGTCTGCAATTCCATGTTCCAAAATACCTGGGGGAAGGAGGAGAGGACAGCTCCCAGGTTTCCATTTGAAGCTGGAAAACCCTTCAAGGTACCAGAAAAACCCATCCCAGCTCAGTCTCAGTGCACCTAAAGCACTGAGAGGGTTTGGGCAGCAACGCCTGTGTAAGGACAATGATGCTTTTGCACAGGAATCTGCTCCCAGGGCTGTTCTGGGGCAGCCACCCCATGTGCTGTCCCTACAGCTCTTCTGACCCCCTCCTGCAGCTCCAGCTGCCCAGGGCATAACTTCTCCCCCGTTCTGGTATCCCCATGGATTATGAAACCCTCTTTATTTACACTGTTGTTCTGCACAGTGGTTGGACAGGTTTCTGTAACGTGTTTTCCCTACTGGCACCTCGTCACGAGGTGTTTTTACCTGCAAAGGAGGTTCACGGTGTGGAGTCTTGCTTTGAGGGACTGGCACGGGGATGAGGAGGCAGAAACTGGGCTGAAACACGGAGGAGGGAGAGCACAGGAGAGTTTTGGGAAGGCAAAGGTCGCTGGTGTTGCCGCTGAGCTGCTGCAGCAGCTCCTCCACATGCCCCAGGGCTGGACTCAGCTGGCAGCAGCCTCCAGCCAGTGCCAGCCTGCTCGGGGTGTGTGGCTTAAAACTTCTCCTAGGACAAATCCAGCTGGGTTTTGGGGCTGATCTGGGGTTTTTATTTCAGCTCCAGGTCCTTTGTGAGACGGATCACTTCAAGGTGGCCGTGAACGATGCACACCTGCTGCAGTACAACTTCCGTGAGAAGAGGCTGAACGAGGTCACCCAGCTGCGCATCGGGGGGGACATCGCCCTCACCAGCGTGGTGCCCACCATGATATAACTGGGGGGGCTCTGGGCAAACCCTGCTCTTCTGTGGTGTAACACAAATGCCTTCTCACCAGCTCACTGTGAGGTAATAAAACATTTAACCTGTAAAATTGGGTTTAATCATATCTTATAAGGCACGACACGCTCCAGGCGAGCCGGGTTTTGATGTGGAAGGAGCTGAACTCCTGCTGTAGAGGCAGCAACAAGGAGTTGGATTTCTGTGGAGAGGAACTTGGGAAAGCAGCCTGTGGCATTCTGCCCCTGCTCCTGTGAACAGGGGCAGCAATCCTCTAGGAAGCACAGAGAAAACCTGACAGCCTCCAAGCCTGCCCAGGATGAGGCATTTCAGGAGAGGGTTCAGAGCTGGAGGAAGCAAAAATCTCTCTGCTGGACTGTGGCTGGAGAAGCCATCCCTGTCCTTCATTTTTGGGGGCCCAAACCAGCGTGTCCCAGGAACATTTCCCACCCCAGGGAGATCCCATCCCTACAAGTGTTACGTGCCCCATGAACGGGTCACGAGGCTTGTGCTGCTCCCCACTCATCACCCCTGTGTGAGTCAAGAGCAGTTTCAAGGGTGGGGACGTTTATTGGCAACTTCACCCCGTGAGTCAGGCTGGTAAAAAAAGAAAACAGAAGTATGTTCCCTTTGCTGTGAGTCACTGCAGTCTTGTCTGGAAAACAAGAACAGTGCAACAGCCACCACTGAAGTTTCCAAAGCTTTCTCTGACGTGGCTCATGCTGTTTTATAACAGTGACTCCTTTTATGCTTTGAGTGCCAAGTTACAAGCAGAGTCCTTAAAATTTCCAGCAGATGCAGAAATCTAGAGCAGCACATTGCTACCACCAGCATGGAGAAGCTGTGGTTGCCCCAGCCCTGGAAGTGTTCCAGACCAGGTTGGATGGGGCTTGGAGCAACCTGGTCTGTGGAAGGTGTCCCTGCCCATGGCAGGGGCTGGAACTGGATGGGCTTTGAGTTCCCTCCCAACCCAAACCATTCTTCAGCAGGAAAGTCATTAAAAGGATCCCTAGAACTGGAGTTAGAAATGAAGAAAATGGATTCCAGCACACATCAGCTTCCTCTCTTTATTCAGTGTAATCAGTACACAGCTTCCAGGTTAAAACTTAACCCCTGGCAGTGGCAGCAAGGGACTGAAATCTCTGCTTGGTTTGGGATCAAGGCTGGTAGAAGGATGTGTGTGTTACACTCAGGTCACTGGTACAAGAAGCAGCCCAGTGAGGTATTTGTTAAAAATATAACAAGTGGTGGTACTGTAATGCTACTCCTCAAATCCAGAGTCTATAGAACTGGCATGATCCTTGTGCACAAATATGTTACAGTCTGGATGGGGAATGCACAAGGAACAAGATGAGAGAAGAGACTGAGCACAAACATGTCAAAAACAAGTAGAAAACATGGGTCTATTAAGATACTGAATAGAAAACTGCATCCTTAAAGGAAATAATATCAATGCCTATTTCAATACATCATCAAGAAAAGGTATTATCTGACTTAGAAATCCTTGTTCTGAGTTAGTTTCTGCTATTACAAATCCAATGGTTACACACCAGGAAAACTTTCCCAGGAAAGAACTGCATGCATCCAACCCTGCCAGAGCAGGTGCTGAGGCAGGTGTTAACACACAGGTACCCCCAGAGCATGGCAGAGTGTTCTGGGGAGGGAACAGGCTGGGTCTCACCCCAGACTGGGTCTCTGGTGCCCTCCCAGCAGATACAGGGCACAGGCACAGCTGGAGGGGTGGGCACCTTGTAATAACAACAAGTCATGAGGTCAGTCAGATCAGGGTAGAAAAGCTGAAAGGTGAACAGTTTTACAACCTGGAGGAGACAGGAAATACATTAAATGATACCAACATAAAAATGCTTCAGGTTGCAGTCAGAGTTTACAGCCAGATACAGCAGGGATCACCAGAACACAGCCCACTGCTGCTGTACAGCAGAGCTTGGTGCATCACAACTGCACCATCAAATGACACACACCCCATTATCACATCCATTACCACGGGTACTCTTCCTCTCTCAACACAGCTCCAGGGTAGCAGACTGTGTTCCAGATACCCTCTGTGGGCTTCCTGTTCATAGAATTTACATATTTTGCACTTAAAGTCACTTTTTAATGATCCCCAGAGGGACCAACAGGAGAAAACACGATGAGGTCACTGAATACTTCAGCTGCTGCAAACTTCTGGGCTTTGGTCTTGACTGGAGTGAAGGGAAGCTCAGCATCCAGCATTGGCTGTGGGAGGAGCCAGAGAGTGGAGTCAGGGTTTGAGGAACACAAACCACAGAGCACTGGAAGGACTCTGATATCCCCAAGGGTAATTTTGCAATTTGCCTTATTTCCCAGGCATAAAATAAAAAGTGATTACACATGGTCCGTGCTGAAGACAGACACTCCTTACTCAAGTCAGTAATCCATGTTTTAAAGAGGATTTTTCACAAGAAAACCTACACCCAAATCCTATTAATTGTATTAAATGTGAAAGCTTTTGCACACCTGCTTTTCCCTGCTAGAATGTTACTTCCAGCTCTTAATGCTGAGGTGATTAAAAAAGATTTGGGGTAGACTTAAAAAATTCCAGGAAGAAAAAAAAAAGGCTGTTTGTGAATACCTACAAGGAAATTTGCAAGAAACACAATTTAAAGGCTCAATCTGACAAGAATCAGACATTGTCCTGCTACAAATATCTTGATTCATCCTACACTCATCATGTGCAATAAGAAACACCACTGTGAGCCCAGCAAGGAAGCAGCTGGAATGTGGTTTGTATTTGAAGTTATATCAACTGGCTTGATAACATCTTTAAGAGTTTAATTTTCTTTGTGCAGTAACTGAGTCTGCAGCAAAGGTGAACAGTCCTGCAACACGCAGCTTGCCTTAGTCAAATAAACTTGAAGGTCAGCTTACCATATCAAAAGGATTTCTGTCAATGAGTGCCAAATCAGTGCATGAAACATCTGAAAAATAAGTACATAATTAAAAAAAAAAAAGTTAGTCTGATGCTGCCAAAGCTGAAAAAACAGTATTGTTTTCTATATTTATTAAAAGAAGAAATCCAAACTCTAAACTGTATTTATTTCTTTATATTAGCTTTCTCCCTCACATATCCCTCAGAAACTGTTCAGAGAAATCCAGGGGCACTGTTTGCTCATGTGCAACGTGTGTTTGAGTCACACCAGCTAAGGGAGGCTTTGCTAACAGCACCCACAAACCAATCTGATTTCAAAGAGTAATACTCAGGTTATCATAAATCCTTATGATAACAGAAGGGGCCAGCAATGCCCCCCAAGCTGCACCATGCAGCTCTAAGATAAGCACCTGTCTGATGTATTTGTGGCTCTCCAGACTGAGCAGAGTTTGTCTCCTTCTCTGGGCTGCACATGATGATGTCTTGTTCCTGTTCTGCAGCAGACAGTTCCATCTCTTCCATGCCATCCACTGCTTTTGATTCACTGCTAGAACTTCCCAGGACCTGAAAAACAGGGATTTTCTCTGTTCCCAGCCATGTTCTTGTTATGTCACACCAAGTCCACACATCTAACCCACAGATTTTATGGAGAGTTCAGGAGAGATGGAGTTTTAACTCCAGGCACTGTGCAAGGCACAGGCAGGCCAAGGCTCAGGGTCAAGGCTGTGACTCAAATCCCAAACACCCTTTAAAGCCTAAAAATCCCTCTGACAGTATAAGGGAAGTTTTTCCACAGGAAAGAAGGTTTTGAACTTCAAGTGTTATCTGGTGACTTTTCCTACAGAAAAACCCATCAGCAACACTGAAAGCTTTCCCCAGAGAGTGAAATCACCAACTCTCATTTTAATAGAGAAAGGATGAAGTAAAAGCACTAAGAAAAAATTAGTAAACAGGATTAAAAATAAATTATGTATGTAGGGGGATAGAGGGGAAATGACTGCTGCAGTCATGCACAGATCCAAGCAGTAACAAATAAAATTTAAAGACTCCATTTCCAATGAAAGTTACTAAAGGATGATTGACTCCAAAGCACTGACTTTCACTGGTAGCACAGTATCATCTAAATTAGAGGTCACATTCCTGCTTTTTTAAGGCTGCTCAAACACAGGCAATGTCACCAAGTCTTCAGAAATTTCAGGACATGGATTTCTGACACCTGGATTAGCTCTTGCTGTACCTTTAAGGAGATTAAGAGCCCAGTGCTCTGCTGTGGAGGATGCTGAGGACTGAGTGCTGTTGCCTTCAGTCAGGGTCCATAAATGCACATAATGCATTATTATATTACAATTATATTGCATTATTATTGTATTACATATATTACATAATGCATTATTATACTGTAAATGCATTTTAAAAATCCCCACCAGAAAACAGGAGGTGGTGGACTTCTAGGAACATTGCTTCTCCAAGTGACAAGTCCCCCTGGAGCAGCCAGGACCTCCAAAACACAGCTCTAAAGAGCAAGACAAGGTCCCCAAACTGCAGCAGTCCCTACTTTTGTCCACCCAGAGATAAAAAGCACTGCCCTGAGGAATACATGAGATTTGTAAATGAGGATTTGATCAGAAGTCCAAGTGTCTGGGGTAATCAAAAGAATTTTTCCTTTGCTAGTAATAACAGAGCATGTAAAGCACATCCATGAACAATGCATGACTTACCTTATTTCCCTCTGCTGTGCCAGCAACCAGGCACATTTCTTCTGCAACCACAGAAGTGCTGGAAGAGAAACCAAAACATTTTCATTCTTCTCAATCATCTTCATCAATCACCTTCTGACTTGTCAAACTAATCTTACAATTTGTTCTGCAGTTTTGCTGCCTTGGTTGGCACTGGTGAGCTACATTAAACCCAAACTTCCTGGGCAAACAAACTTCTACCCCAGCAGCAAAATTACATTTGGGCAAGGCTCTTAATATTTGCTTAAGGGAAGGAAAAGTCACAAGTACTTTGCAAACTTTATCACTGCCAAATCGAAAGGTAACATTTAATGGGTTTTAACATCGTGTCTTTCAGTTCCAACTCTAAAATGATTTGTACAAGGTTAATTAAAAGCTGCTTTAGCATGCCTACCTTTGTTCAAGACCTTCAGGGAGTTTATCCAATGGGGGAGTTTGTTCAGTGGGAAGTTGGTCCATTTTCAAACTCTGTGCTGGGTGGAAGCCTTTGACAGCTGAGGGGGTTTTCTTTGCAGGTGCATCCTCAGGGTTACAGAGAGGAGAAGAAAGCAAAGATCTGGATGATCTTGGATTTGCCAGTTTTCCAGGGGTCCTTGGAAGCAAACCTGGAAAATGTGTTCCATATTTCATTCCTACAGCAGCTTCCAGAAGCTGAAATGAACTGATCATTATGATTCTAACCAGGGACAGACACAATTGTTTTCTGCTTGCTGAATCATCTTATACAAACATTAGATGGAAATCTCATATACACTTGCAAAGAGAAATTGAAATTATTAACTTCCATCTTTCAAATTAGGCAATTTTAATAGAGTTTAAAAGACACAGATTCAGAACTGATGCTTATAACAGATTCTCTGCTGGAGTTGGCTTAAACCAGTGTTGCTCAAAGCTCTTCAGAAGTTCTCCCCTACTAACAAGAGGCACATGAAAAGAATTGTTAGTTTTGTCACGAGAAGAGAGATCTGCACACACAAAAAAAAGGGAATTTAAAAATCAAATTATGAACTAGAAATGTAAGAGAAGCAGAAGTACTGGAAATACTGGCTACATATAGATTCAATATGATAAGTTGCTGAAATTGAAGTTATATTTTGAGCACCTGTTAAAAAAACGGAACTATTAAACAGCTTTTATAGCAAATGTTACAATCTTGTTAACCATGAGCACAGATTATGAGTGGACTTTATTTGCAGCTTTGAAGGCAGCACTGTAAGAGGTTCAGCTAATTAAAAAAAAAAAAAAAAAATTAAAAATCCCAATTCCTGTCCTGCAATTAGAGGATGTGAGCTGGTATTGACTTTGGTGAAGAGGCTCATCAGCTGAATCTGGGAATGCTCAGATTAGGATTTCATTATTAAAATTATGCTGGAAAAACATGAACCAGCTATTTCACCTCTGTCTAAGCTATTTCATGCTGCCATAACCACTCCAATCAGCACATTCATGTACAGCAGTTTACTTTGGAGCCCTGATGTAATCAGTCCCTGGTTGAAACACTGTTCAGTCCTGGATTTGTAGCCAGAACAAACAGCACAAATTCCTCTCCCCAGTGAAATGAATTAAACTCTTTGGTACTTTCAGATCACAGAAATCACTATTAAGCTTCACCTACCTGAAAAGTTTTTCACAGGGCTTTCAATCCTGAAAAATCCTGCTTCAAAAACCACTTTTTCTACCTCTGGCAGCCTCTCCTGCTGGGTACCCTCAGCAGCTTCCCCCTGCTTCATTCTGTCCCTCATGGCTGCTTTGACAGAAGCCAGGCGGCTCCGGGCAGCAGCTCTGGCAGCTGCTTCCAGCTGGGCCTTGGGCACTCCACTTGGCACTGCCTTCTTCTGGAATGAAAGAAAGCTGGGTCACACCTGGAAATTCTGGAGAGGAGCAATTACACATCAATCTCTACACAGGTGCTGCTGCCACAGACACAGCAAGGAGCAAAAGGAGGCTCAGGGGGGACCTTGTGGCTCTGTCAGGTGGGATTCAGGCTCTGCTCCCAGGGAACAGGATCAGGAGGAGAGGAACTGGATTCATTTGCACCAGAGGAGGTTTGGATTGGATATCAGGAAAAATATTTTCACTGAAAGGGTTGTCCAGCCCTGGCACAGTTGCCCAGGGAAGGGTGGAGTCCCCATCCCTGGAGGGATTTAAAAGCCATGTGATGTGGCACTTGGGGACAGGAATTGGTGGTGGCATTACCAGTGCTGGGGAATGGTTGGATTTGGTGACTTCTCCAACCTCAACAATTCTACAATTTTATGCATCAAGGCCTCTGCCCATCCCCAGCATTCTCTTGTGCTGCCATCCAGCTGTTAAGGTAAGTGTGTGATGACAACATTAATAATTTTTTTCAAATGAATCAGCAGTTCAAAAATCCTCACTATAACTTTTTTCCCCTAATAAATTCAGTAAGATTTTGGATGCACTGGGATGCAGGGACTCCTAGTGGCAGGGACACAGTGTAACCACAGGACAGACTTCAGGCAGTCAGTGAAGCCTCCCTTGGCATTCAGTTTTCCAAGGGAAGTTTTGTTTTGTACCACCTGAAGAGTTCTGGCATTTATGGGCAGCTCCCACAGACCACAATCCCTCTGTTTTCCCATGCCTGGAGTTTCTTATCCACCTTCATCTCAATGTTATGATTAGTTAAGCAGTCTCAAGGAACTGCATAGAATTTAGGCAATGCAAAGACAACTCAATACTCAGTCAGAAGCAATGATATATTTCAAACCAAAGAGTAGATAAAACAACTCACAGCTTATTTTGCAATAAGCACTAACTTATTTTGGAGAGTGTCAGATCCATTTGTGCTTAGAGAAGCAGCAGTTTAAAGCCACCCATGGTGTTGGCTTAATGGGACACCAGTACAGTTGATCACTCCCTGCTCAAAACTGGCAGTCATTCCCAAATTCCTGGGTGGTTTACTTCCCAGTTAAGTCAGTGGCCCAGATAAATTGTTTTACATCTGAAGAGTAAGTTTATATCCTAAATTTAAGAGATTTGTCTTACTAGCATAGACTCCAATGACTCCAAAAAATGCATTGTTAATTCTTAGTTCTAATCTTAGCAGCCAAAAGGGGCAACTAGGACTAAACCCACCAAATAATACAAGAGAGGTGAAGGAGAGGGGTGCACCCTGAGAGGAATTTCACTTAATTTTCAATATATCTAAAGAAGCCATGCAAGATGTGCTTTAGGGGCTATTCATACCTTCACAACTGCTTTGCTTGGGACATCAAGTGGCTGCCACTTATTGTCTTGAAGCTTCACCAAATTATCAAATTTTTTATTCACATCTTCAATCTGTTGATCACATTTAAGGAAAGCAAAAGAATACATTGTAAAATAAACTTTATTCAAACAAGCACAGTCTTCCATCCTGCAGGAAACATCTCTCAAATACTTTTGAAGAAGCAGATCAAACTCTTATGCTCTCTGCAGAGAAGTCAAAACTTCTCTGTGACTAGGACAATAACAAATCCATCTCTGCATTTAATTTGACTACTTACAAACTCCTTGGCTGAGTGCTGATTTACAACTACTGTTGAGAGCTCTTTTGAGAATTATTATATTTCATTCTGAAACTAAAGAAAGCATCAAAGGAGGAGAAGAGGAAGGTTTTCTACCACCTAAGCTCAGCCCTAAATAGAGTTATGTAGTTCCTGCATTATTCTCATACTGAAGCATGGAACCTCTACTTTTCAGTGAGCTTCAGAAATTTTCCAAAAACTGGGAAGTAGACATTGTGACTGTATCCTCACTCCAAAACAGAGTAAGATTTGGCCAAACATATTCATTCCAGAGACACACAAGGCACACAGGCCACAGGAACACAAAATAGAAGAACTGGTCCATGAATTGTAAGTCATAGTATCCCAACTGCAACTATTCACTGTCACAGTGTTAAAACAAGGACCTGCATTTTTTACATTAAAGATAAAAAACTGAACCAAAAAAGTTTCAATACTTGGTTCATAAATAACCACCAGTTTTATCCTACTAAGTTAACAAGCAAGTACATACCTGAAAATAAATCATATCCCAAAATCCATCCAGGTCTGTACACGTTGTTTCTTTTTCACCTCGTTTAAATTCACAATTGTCAATCAATCCTTCAAACTGTTTGAACCTTTCTCCTATGAGCAGCCTTGTCTGACCAACTGTGGAGCGAATCAGGTCTTTAGCTGGTAGCAAGAAGACAAAAAATACAGGATATCTTGGATTAATAAGTGTTTGAGGAGTCTGGAATTTGTTGTCCCACCTACTGCAAACTTGAAATTCAATTCAGATGGAGCTTTGCTGTCCACTGAAATGCTCTGAAGTTGCTTCTTTCAAAAAAAAAATTACTCTCTCAAGTCTTAAAGATAAGCATTGCTGGAGTCTATATTTTCCCAGATAAGGGCACTTATTCCACATTAAAAACTAATCTTATTTTTAAAAACCAGCTTGGTTAAAATTCCTACATTTAAACACTGACTGGCAATAGAACAACTATTTTGATGTGCACTTTGTTCACTTTATCAATCACCATCACTGCAAAATGCTACACAAATTTTAGGAATAGGAGACTCTGTATTTTGGGGCAGATCCAACTCTAAACTTTCTCTAGTACATCTTTGCAGATTTTTTTTGCTGTTTTGCAAACAGCACATACATGTCCTTCTCTCTGTCCCAGAACCGGAGACTCTGTATTTTGGGGCAGATCCAACTCTAAACTTTCTCTAGTACAGCTTTGCAGATTTTTTTTGCTGTTTTGCAAAATGTCCTTCTCTCTGTCCCATTCAGTGCCCAGAACTCCCCTTCTGGTGCCTATTGCAGCTCACTCTTACCATCCTCTGGAATGTCCAGCTCAAGGTTTCCTTCCCACTGCAGGCACTGAGACAGCAGCCTCTCTGTCTCAGTCCGAAGAATGTTTCTGAAAATACAAGGATAGAGAAAAAAATAAGGATTTGGAGAATTTCCTGACTTGTGGTGGCTGTTAATGGTTATTATCCTTTTGCTCTCAGAGAATCCACTGACTCTGAGCTGAAGATTAGATTGTTTTATTTTGCTGAGTGGCTGAGGTGCAATTTCTTTTCTACTGCTTTCAAGCTCATGATCCTTAGGACGAGGTGTTAGTCTCCAGAATTTTATGTTGTTTCCTTGCACTTCAGGTACAAAAAGGAAAACAGGAATGTCTGCCTGCTCAGGTCACAGCTGTCAGACACCAATCACCATTAAATTAAGCTGACCTTTGGAAGAAGTCTCATTATTCATATTAAGAGTTTTCAAATGGACATCAGGGAAGTGAAACAAGTGAACCCAAACCTGAAATAGGGCACATCATGCTCTTGCTCTTTTGTATCATCTGCCTTCACTGCAAGTGCTGTTGAGACAGGAGTTGTTTTGTTTGATCTCTGAGTGGAAGTTCTCTCATCTGATTCACCTGCTGAAAAGCATGAAAGGAACTTGTTCAGAATCTGGTGATAATTAAAAGCATTAGAATAAACTAAATGTGAACTTCCTACCTCCTCCTTTCAAACTTGTGGTCATTTGCTGTTCTTGAATGCCTTCAACAGGTGAAATTTGGATTTTTAAATTAGGCTTTTGTGTTTTAGTTTCACTAGATTTTTCAAATATTTTGCTGGAAACAAACAAAAGTACATTTAGTTAAGACACATTGAGAAAGTGACATCAAATATGGCAAATTTCATAGAAATGCATAGTTTGGAAGGCAAACCTCCACAGAACACTAGAGAACTCAAATAAATAAATCACTACAGATAGATGCAGGGCAGAGTCCTTGACAGCTGCTCCTCAAGCATGGACAGAATACTGAATTATATCCATATCTGCTGTTGTGTTAAGTCCACATTTAAGCAATGATAGAAACCATGAGGATCAGGTGTTAAAACACCACAACATTTTGTTACAAAGTGAATCTTTCTATAGAAAAATGTTTTTTTTTTTGCATCCCCACAGAGGTTCACTTGCATTTTATGCCCCATTAGAAGGAAGATTCTTACACTGGAGATTTTGAAAAATTCCAGACAGCAGTGGGTGTCAAAAAAGCATTTGCCCTTGAAGGAGACATGGGTGTCACAGTGTAGGTTGCCAATCCACTCAGAGGCTGAAACACAAAGTTTTGAGGTGCAAAGGAGCGTGTTCTGGGTCTCCTTGGAGAAAAACTGTTGTTTTCCACTGAGGTTTGTTCTTGCTGAAGTTCTACTGGCACTGAGTGTTTGGAATCAGCTGCAGAACTTTTCACCCCTGGATCCACTCCAGAATTTGTCTCCACTTCATGTTTAGAAGAAATTATCTGTAACAGCATAGAAAGACAAATCAAATCATCAATCATGTGTTTGCAATAGGCATGGGCTCAATTATAACATGAGTGTCTGAAAGCCATCAGGAAGGGAACAGCTTAAGGTAAATCAGCTCCTAAACCAGCACACCTGGACAGAAGTGATGAGTTACCAGTAAGTCCAACCATTTTTGATACCTGCAAATCATTCTAGAGACAGAAGTTAACACTTCACTACAAAAAATCCAACAATCCACTCCAGGGGCTAAAGCAGAACACCTTACCAACCAAAACAATAATTAAAAATGACAAATGTATGCTCCCACTGCTAGTAATAAAAGCTTTAAGGAGATAAAATCCTCAAGAGCAGAATTACTGGCTCCTAATCCAGCTAGGACTGTTGAATAATCATAGTTTATGCACATGCTCCAATCCAAAAACTGAAAAACAAGCTGGAATAGGCTGATAGCTGAGGAATGCAACCCAAGACAAGTGCAGTTACCACCACAGAATGTCATTAAAAGAGGAGAAAAAAATTAAACACTAATTCACATTCTTATGAGATGAGTGAGCAGATAGTCACACAGAACACGTTTCTGAGATATCTAACTGAGATTGTTAGCTCAAGCCAGGCAGAAAAACTTTGGGTGTTTTTCAAGAAAATATGCATCTTCAATCCACTGAAAGTCTTGTTATACTTCAGTCACCTCTGCTAGGAATGTAAACCCTGAATTTTGCTTTTAGCCAACCTTTCCAAATGAGCTGCCTGTGGTTACCAGCTGGCAGGGACTCCTGCCTGTGAAGAGGTGCTTGTCCAAGGAAGATAAAAGTGCTCTCACCTCCTGTTTGGGTGTGATTGCACAATCTCAAACACTCTAAAGCACAGCTCCAGTTACAGGAGCAAGGTGGAGATGAGAAGTGTGAGAAGGAAGAGTGAAGCAAAAGAAGGAAAAAATCATGGATAGCTCTTGCACAGAAATGCATGAATGCATAAAAAATTGTGGAAGTGATGACACCAAGAACCACAATGACTGCCTTCAGCTGTAAATCATGCACAGAATAGTGTTCTACTTTGCAGAGAACAGCATTTCCAGCTCTATTTCTTGGTGGCTCAAAACCTAAAAATGTGTTTATTTCTTAGCTTCTAGAGGCTTATACTGTTACCTGAGCAGGAAAATCATCCATTCAAAATACACTTCAAAAAGGAATGAACTGCACAAAATTTACAGCTGCTAGATTAAACCAGCAAAGCAAATTTTTTTGACTAGTTAAAACATCAGATATGTCATGTAAGAACTTCTTGTCTATTTTAAATCACTGTCCAAATCCTGATTAGTAATCACATCATTCATCAGCCATGTCCATATCCAGGGTAGGATTCTTGGGGCTGTCCTTTGAGGGGCCAGGAGTTGGACTGGGATGATCCTTGTGAGTCTCTTCCAAGTCACAGTATTCTGTGATTCTATATGAGCACTAAAATTGATCTTAATTTTTAAAATATGGCAGTATAAATACATACAAGTCCTTCCCAAATTCTAGCTTATTACTGAAATTACTTTTATGTTCGAGCACTTCAGCTACAATGACACAGTTATTGGCTCTTAAATTAGTTTTACAGCTTTTCCATTTCAACTATAACATGACCTACCTTTATGGGATCAGGTTTGACAGCTTTCTTCTGCTTTCCTACATTTGCTGCCTTTCTCTGTGACTGGTTACCTACAAAAAGAGACACTCCCAGAGGTCAAAAAGGCATCTGATTCATGTAATCTTTCACCAAAACACTGCCATAAAAATCAGTTGCTAAAGATAGGGAGAGACTGTTTTATTTCTTGGGTGGGAGGTGGCTAGAGGGAAGAAACAGCATTGCAAAATTTCATTCAAAAGAAAACCTGGCCTAGGATTTAACAGCCTAGTAACAGATGTATCACCAAGAAAACAGATTTATAAAGCCATCAATCTTTGGATCTTGCCATATAGTAAAAGTCACCTTGTTTCCTAAAAGGTTGGAGAGATTGTCAAGCCAATTTGAGTTTAGATTTTTAATTTCTATATGGCATAGGAATTCTGTTGGTGGACTGACTTCCAGTAAACAGGCAAAGACAGACAAAGAGAAATTCCTCACCTGAAGAGCAAAGGCTCTCATCTCTTCCAGAGATATTCCTGCTCACACATTTAATAATTATATGGCCATAAACAGCCAAAGTGCCAATCTCTACCAGTTCTGGCTTTGTTCCTTGACTTTGTAATTACCATGTGGACATGGATGCTCCACACTGATGGCTTTTGTAGGAAGTGTTGGTTTCAACATGTTGATGTAGATACTGCACCCAAGAGTCAGAGTGATGCAGCATTCAGCCCTTTTCTTAGATGATAATTTGGCATGATTTAAATGCAGTCTAAGGTACAGCTGAGTTACACAGCTCTGCCTCACTTACCAGCAGTAGCAGCAGTTGGTTTCAGCACCTGCCTGGCTGCAGAGGCAGCTGCTCTGGTGACTCTCCCACTTGGGGCTGGTTGGGCTGCAGTCTGCAACACTGCAAGACAGATTAATCCCAGAGATTCCAAGTTTAATAAGGAGCTGCACTCAAGTAATAACTGGAAGTTTCCATTTTGTAGAAATCAGAGAAATGCACCAGCAGTTATCAGCTGCTTGGGTTTGCCAGAATGACCAGGGTTGGGTGGGTTGGGTCAGTTCAGGGCACAGCTTGGCCCTGGCATCCAGGCAATGCACTGAGGGGTCCTGACTCTGTGGTTTTACTGCACAGGTCCATCAGTGTGTTTGATGCCATGCACAAAGCTAAGGAATGCTTCCCACTGCTCCCTGCAAGCAGGGTCAAAGCACTCCCTGTTTTACAGATGAAGTTGTTTAGATTAATATCTTTGCCATGGTTATCTGCACAGCTGGAAGCCAAAGCAAACCATTGGTGTAACAAAGGGATGCCCTGGCCATTATATGAAAGATTTCCAAGGTCAGAATTTAATGCAATCTAACAAAGTACTCTTAAGACTAATTGGCTCTGAAATATTTTATAAAACATGACAAGTTCATGCACTGTATTACCCATCTTCATCATTTTCATCTTTGTATTTTAGCACTGTTTCTAACAGGCTTTTAAAATGACAGCACTTTTCTGCACAGACAGATTTCATGGGAGCTCCTTATTCCATTCCCTGCCTGTCTGAAATCCCCACTTGGTTACTGTTAATGCTATTCCTGCCTTCATTATCAAGCTGGGATTGATTTTGTACAAGCTAGAATGAAAAGTTGGGGAAAAATCACTGGGTAAATAACTACAACATTGGGTTTATCAAACATTCACTTCCCAAACATTTTTATATTGGTATTTTCAAAGAATCACAGAATGGTTTGGGTTGGAAGGGACCTTAAAGATCACCTCATTCCAAACTCCTTGTTATGGGCAGGGAAGTTTAAGTACATATAATGCATATCCTTGATTCAGTACAAAAGAAATAATCAATTTTAGAAAGAAATAACCAATGGGTGACCATTTTGCAAAAACTAAACAATTTGTTATATCAAACACTAATAATACATCTTTTCAGTATTCACCAAGGGCACTACTGAAATTAAATAAAGGTCTGCAGTTTGCTGATTTGATTAGATTAATGATGTGAAAGTCATTTCACTCTGAATTACTGAATATCTAGCATTAACATCAACATTCCACATGACTTGGTTGTATCTACTTAAGGATATCACTGAGTTATGAAGAAGAGTTTCTCATCCAAGTATTCCAATCCCTTAAAGGTGGCACAGGTTGTTTATTTTTAATTGCTGTTTTCTTAAGAAACATCTGTAATTGTGGCACAAAGTGACAGACACAGAAGGCACTTGCTCTTTTCTAACAGCAGTCACTACCTGTGATATTCTTGAGGCAAACAGAAACCCCTGCACAGCTCCAGGAGCTGAGGCATCTGGCAGTTGTGCAATTTGCCTACTGACCTGTTTCTTTTCCCTCTCCCAGGGGGAATAATCAGTAACCAGGACTGTCAGGACCCTGCATTCCATTTCCCCCAGCCTATGGAGGCAACAAGCTCACGTGATCCCTGGAGCCACACACTTGATAGTCCACCAGCTGCTGCCCTTGGTAGGAATGGCCATCTTAAAATCTCCTCCTTCCTTCTTACACCCAAACACGTGCTGTGGATCTTTCCCCCAAAAAATACCCAACTTTCAGCTGTATTTCCATACCTTTCTCTTTTTCAGCCACTTTGGCTGTACTCATCTGTTTATGTCCTGCCTGGGTAGAGCGCACACTCTGCCCGTGGGCACTGACCTAGGAGAAAAAAAACAGGTTTTTTGTGAAGCATCAGATTTCCAGAAAATCAGCAGTTTCTTTCCTCATCTATGTATCCTAGATTACAGTAAAGGTAAAAGTAAAATAACTTGGCACAGGGGGCTTTAAAAAGTAGAGAGACATTATGGATAACTTAAAATAGATTGGTTTAAGGATATGTTATTGTGCATTACCCAACTAGTTAATAAATTGTCAGAAAAAGAGTGAAGAAAAATATTTAAGCAACAGTTAAAATATCTTAAACTTGATTGACAAACAGATCCAGAAAACCTGTGCTATTTTCTGTTTGTACTGATCTAATCAAACTTGTAAAGGTACTATCCTGAGTCTGAAATTGCATCCCTTTCTCTAAATTTATTCACTGAAACTGTATATATATATAAAACACACCGTGGAGGACTTAGATGCAGTTGGTATCAGAGTTGGTATCATAGTTTTTCCTTCTTGCATCTTGGCTTTTGACCGAGTCATCCTTCCAGAGAAAGCAGGAGCTGCCTGGAAACATCCCCAAGAAAATGAGAGTTAATAAACTCCTTTTTCCCTTTGTTACAGAGACTGAGCAAGAAGCATAAATGTGAAAAACAACACGTCTGTGCAAAATGGGTCAAGTGTGAAAGCTTTCAAAGCTGAGTTGACTAAATATGAACAAGTTACTAGTTCTAAAATAATGCAGCTCTTTCATTTGTGGATGAATCATTCCAGTTTTTGAACTGAACATAGTCACAAATACAAAAATCCACATATCATTAGTACTGTTTCCAGCTTTGTTTAGAAAAAAGAATGAGCCAAATTACTCCCTTATCATAACACCAATAAAGCATTTGCAAAATAAGGAGTTTATTTGAAATAACACACACATTTGTACACAACCATCAATTTAAACGCAGCACACGGATGAAGCTAATTTAAATATTTAATAATTAAAATTTAATATTACCACTGTTACCTTCTCTCTTGGCTTTGCTACTGCAGGTTCCTCAGCAGCAAGAGCAAGAAACCCAGGTGCAGCTGGTCTGTAGAGGCCAACCTTGAACACCCCTTTCTTGGCTCTCTCTCTCTGCTCCTGCAGTTTGCGCAGCTCCTTCTCCTCCTTGTAGCGCTGCAGCATCTCCCTGCGCTCGTTCATCCTCTTGGTGGCTGCATTTGGGGCTGCCTCTGCAGCAGACATGCAAGGCAGATGTGTTACAAAAATCATGAAGATGGTTTTTGAGCCCACAAGAAGTCAGAAATCTCCAATAAACTTTGCCAGGCTAGAAGAGGAACGTAAGTCAAAGAGCAGAACTGACTGGAATCTCTAAAGTGTTTTAACCCTTCCTATTTGTAAGTTGAAATTCAATTTCAACTTACAAATAGACTTCCCCAAATATCCACCTGAGGACTACTAGAAACTCACTCCCATTTCACAGGTTTGCAAGGTTACTGGTAGAAAAATTAACACCTCATCTTCTTGTTTGGTTTATTTGTAACAGTTTCTCTATTCAAACACTTCCAATGTCATTGAAAATTCAACTTTAGATACCAAAGTCTGACTCAGGCTGAGAATAAATGAGGCAGAAGTCATATGAAACAATAAAACCTTAAGATGTTGCCAAATTTGAATTATGTCTACCTGAAAAATATCCACTTAAAGTTGAAATTTATGAAAGATAATCAAGACAAATTTATTACATTTTATATTTGATACTATTACAGACAGACTGCACTCCAATAATCTTCAAAAAATTACTATCCTCTAATTATCTTCTGCTATCAAAATACTAAAGGTGAAAGTATTTCTAAAAAAACCTGTTGACATTTTTAAATATTAACTCAATTTCTTAGACCATAAACATCCAGGAGAGCCAGGGGGCAGAATTCAGCATATATGCAAGCTCTATTTTCTGAGAGGAAAATAAGTTGTCAAAAACTAGTAATTGTCAAAATAAAATCATGCTATGCATTTACCCATTAATAATTTCATATATCATATAAAAAAGCCCATTTGCTAAGCATAGTTTAAGTACATGAAAGGCTAGAAGGTATTTTAGATTGGAGTTTTTCACATCTTAAAGGACAAATCATAAAGGCACTTCCTATTGAATATTAATAACAAAATACATTCTTTCTTTAGCTGCTGAGACAAACCAGAGCAAAGCTTCATTCACACCACTGGAGCTGGAGCAGTGAGGAGGGTACAGCTGTATTAAGATTTTATTGTCCTGATTTTTAACACCTGACAGGGTTTTAAATCTTCAACTTTTTTGTCAAATTAAAACGTTGACTGCTATTAGGTTTCTGTGATAATGCTACTAAACCTACTTACCATTTTTAACACTTAAAAAAAAGGTCTATATAGCAATCCTTCACTTACTCTGTTTCACACTGCTGTTCTCTTGAGAGCACAACTCCCTGGTTTCCTTGAGCTCAGAAATTCCCTTCTCCTTGGAGAGCTGAACGTTGACATCTGCCAGCCCCAGCTGCCGGCCCTTTTCGAAGAGCTTGTGCCTGTTCTCCTTCTGAAGGATGGATTTCCTGCGGGCAACCTTGGTCCTGAGGGCTTCTGTACTCAAATCCTTCTTGTACCTACTGGCAAACTGGGAGGTGGCAGCCATCCTGATGACCTTAGACAACGATCACAGTGATTAGGAAAACACTGTCATGATTTGTTTTCCAGTTTTGTTCAAGTTTGTTAATGTTATTACCGATGCCCTGAATTTTTTTATTTCTGTATGTGACCAGAGAAAACTCAAATGACAATTTCAGCAATGACACTTCCAGCAATTTCCCATTATTTTTATTCACTGCAGGGATCAGTTTGGGTGTTGAGTGGTCACCAAGTCTGGCACAGAATTAGGAAGGGACACTGCACCCATGCCTGGGATTGGCTGGGCTGCTTTGTCCACAGCTGTTTTCCACATTAAGGAGATGAGCAAGTAAATGACAGGGCTGTAGGACAATACTTGGAAACAACATTCCATTTAGATTAGACCTATCTGATAGCAAGGAATTTTGCCATCAGAACCAGGATGTTTCCAGGATGCAACTGCAATACAATAGTGGTTATTTCAAGCAGAATTTTTCCCATCTTTTTTAACCTGAGGAAGCCTTAAGCCAATTGCCAGCTGGTTTGCACTTGCTGTGCTAAGGGGCTCCAGGAGAGGTGCAGAGGGCCTGGAGTGACAGGACAAGGGGGAATGGGTGTAAACAGACAAAGGGCAGGGATAGATGGGATATTGGGAAGAAATTCTTGTCTGTGAGGGTGGTGATGCCCTGGCACAGGATTCCCAGAGAAGCTGTGGCTGCCCCTGGATTGCTGGAAATGTTCAAGGGCAGGTTGGATGGGGTTTGGAGCACCCTGGGATAGTGGGAGGGGTCCCTGCTCGTGGCAGGGGATGGGAACAAGATTGGGCTTTGGGGTCCCTTCCTACCCAAACCATTCTGGGATTCTGTTATCTCCTGCATCCCCACTGAAACCCATCTTATCAAGGGTTTTCCACCTCAGCCATCACACATCTCATCTTCCACCACTTACAGAAAACAGCTTTACAGCAAGCAGGGTGACAGAGCAAAACTAAACACACAACAGTTATTAATTCATTGGTAATTGAGTCATTTACTGAGGCTCTTCATTTCAGGACAGCATGCTCTGATCAAACTGAAGGAACCATCAGTGAACTGAAAAGCCTTGACAATGGGTATACAGGATTTATTAAATCCATCCCCTTCCCATCTATGTACCACCAAAAGCCAAAAACTCAACCAGCAGCCTAGCTGGAAAACCCATATGTTAGAAGAAAAAAAAAAAGCAGCAAAATAGAAATAAAGCAGAAATGAAGTGGATATATTTATGGGAAAAGCAGTCAAGGAAGAAGGAATACAGCCCAAGCCTGTTCAGGTGCCATCAGTGCTGGCAGTGCAAGCTCCCTGTTCCCCACTCCATGAAAGTGTTCATGGAGGGGAAAACTTGCACAGCACCTGCACAACCTCCTGGAATTGCTTAGAACAAACATTGGACAGAAACCAAAATCAGTGCATTGTGCTCCTTTTCTCAGGAGAGAAAAACAGTCAGTGGAAGTTAAAAAGCAAAACTCAAATCAGGGGCTGGATCTCCTCCACACAATCCTGCAAGAGCTGGTCCACTCCAGCACCACCTGAATTGTGAATATCTTGGGCTTCACCCTGCATCTTGGATTCCAGCTTTCAGAAATTGATTAAAAATGCCAGTTAATGATGAGTGCAAAAAACTCCACTGCAGTTCATAGGTCATATTTGCCCTGCTTTACATTTGTGTGATTAAGGGAGGTTAATTAATGAGCATCTCCAATAATCATATTTGAACTGATTCTGCTAGTAACTACAGAATTAGTTATTACAGAATTGTTAGTAATGACATGGCATTACAGAAAGCCATAAAGAAATCAGTGGGAATTCATCTCTACTATCTGTGCCCTAGAAGTAGCAAGGTTTTGAGCTCAGTGGTTGATAAATATTCCTCAAAGCTGCAGTTTAGTGTCTACACTCATCCTTTCTCACTACAAAGTTCCTAAATTTACCCTTAACCATGTTCTTTAAGTACAGCAAGGTTACCAGTGATATCTGTGGGCTCATTAAAAATGGATGTCATGCTCAATATCCCAAAGATGTGTTCAGAACAAAAATACCTGTCTCCTCTTCTTCCCAGGTCACTGTTCCCGTGGATGTTCAGAACAAAAATACCTGTCTCCTCTTCTTCTCAGGTTACTGTCCCCGTGGAGTATCTTGCCCAAACAGGAGCCTAGAAGATTAATTTGTATTTAAACTGACAAAAACTCAAGGAAAGACTACTAGCAAGAAAGGGACAGAGGGCTTAGACAAAGGATTTGTGACTGGATAATGCACAGTACCAAAAATTAAAGCTGATCACTTATTTTGATAAATAACAACAAAGTAAAAGAGACACTTTTGACCAACAACACCCTAAGCCTCAAAGAGCAATATGAGCATGAAAACATTTAGTGCTCTTTTAGGCTGAATAGTGAGAAAACAGAGCAGGACATGACTATGAGCAAGAAATAAACACAGGGCTTACACAAAGGATTTGTGACTGGCTAGCGTACAGTACCAAAAATTAAAGCTGATCACTTATTTTGATAAATAACAACAAAGTAAAAGAGACACTTTTGACCAACAACAAGCACCAAAGAGCAGTTCGAGCACGAAAACGTTTTAGGCTGAAGAGTGAGGAAGCAGAGCAGGAAGAGCAAACATCGCTACTCTAAAAGCGGCAGAGGCTGAGTAAATCCCGGGCTCAACGGTTTCCAGAGGGACCCCGGGGGTCGGAGCGGGCTGTGGGGCACAGCCAGACCCGGCCGTGAGGGGCCAGCCCGGCACCGTCCCCTCAGCCCCGTCCCCGCCAGCGCCTCCGGGTGTTCCCATCACAGCTTGCAGAAGCACCGCTGCCAGCTCACCGCCAAGCCAGACCCCCGCGCCGGGACCCTTTACGGAGCACGTATCTGGGGAGTCACGGTTCCCCGGAGCCCTCAAAGCCCGTCCAGGCTCGCAAACCCCGCCGCGGGATCCCCGATCCCCCCGGGCCCGCCATTACCTGCCCCGGCCCCGCGCGCCGCGCAGCCCCCTCCGCCCGCCGCCCCGCCTCGCTTTCAAATCTCACCCGCCAACGCTCATTGGCCAGCCCGGACCGCCCGCTCCCATTGGCCTCACCGCGGGAGCTGATTGGCAGCGCCGGAACGCCACAGCGGGATGCTTATTGGTCGCCTGATGGCCATTCTTAATTTCTATTGGCTGCTTGAGGAAATTCCCCGCCCAATCTTGCCGCTCATTGGCTAGCGGTGTGAGGGAGGTGAAGCCGCTGAGGGCGCGGGGGCGAGGCCTGGCCTTAGGCGTCCCGCGGGGTGCAGGGGGCGCTAAGATGGCGGCGGGGGTCGCCTGTGCCTGAGGGGTACCTGGCACCGGTTTGAGCTTGCAAAGCCCTCGCTGCCACCGGGACTCAGGACACTGATGAGCCCTCCCACCACGCGCAGAATCCCAGAACGGACAGAGCTGGAAGGGACTGCAGTGGCTCATCTGGTCCAATCTCCCTGCTGCAACAGGGATGTCCCAGGGGACAGGATTGGGTCCAGACAGCTCTGGAATGTCCCCGGTGAGGGAGGCTCCACACCCTGTCTGGTGTCTGCCCAGGGCTCGGTCACTGCACAGGGAGGTTCTTCCTCATGTTCAGGTGGAACTCGCGGGCATCGGTTCCTGCTCGTTCCCCTGGTGCCATTGCTGGGCCCCTGGAGCAGAGCCTGCTCTGTCTCTGAGCCCTCCCTGCAGACAGGGACAGACAGGGATCATGTCCCCTCTGGAGGGCTCCAGCCCCTGCTCCTTCAGCTTTCCCTGGGCAGGGAGATGCTCCCGTCCCGCTGCCGGGATGAGCTCCACGTCTCTCCTGAACCGAGGAGCCCAGCAGGTCTGCGTCCACACCTGAATACCCGCACTGGGTACAATACCCGCATTGTGCCGCCTCCTGAGGAGCCAAACTCGGGCTCACAGGTCTGAAAGGACCACAAACACATTATTAATATGGTTTTCATTAACAGCCCTTTATTTCCTGCCATACATCGCACCAACCCCGCCGTTTGCTGGGGTGGGCTGCGTTTAACACAATTCTCAGCTACTGGAGAGTTCTGTGTTTGTTTGGAAGTGGTAACCTGGAAAATTCAAATGCTGGCGGAGGAAACATCCGCTTGGTGGCACTGCAAAAATGGGGACGACGCTTGGAGAGGGGGAAAAAAAGTGTTCGGAAAAGGGAAACTGCTGAGTAGCAGGAGCTGTGGTCAGCGGCAGAGAACCGTGCCCTTCCAGCAGCCTGAAAATGCGGGATCCCCTCTGGCGTTACATCAGTAATTTTGTATGAAAAGGCGATTTTAAGACAGGAATAAATGGATTAAGCACCACAGAAAGAGCACAGAGCTGTTCCCCACAGCAATAATCAGATTGAGTGGCTCTGGACATCCCAGACTGGAGCAGTTGGGGAAAAGTCACCCCATTTCTGCACAGACTGACAAAGGTTACAGCAAAGGTCACAAATATTGACCACCCAGCCTAATCCTTCGGTCATTTATTTGCCAGAGGTAATAAAATACCAGCATGGAGGTTATTGAGTGCTGCCAAAGTGATGGTTTGAAAAAGATCCAATTAAACAGAACCACAGGGGCTCAGATCTGTGCAGTGCACAGAGCCCAGTGCAATGCAGTCCTCGGCGTTTGCTGGTTTTTTCTTACTCCACTTTTTCTCCTATGGCAGTGGAATTTGAGGACATCAGCAATTCTACCTTCTATCAGGGTATAGTCCAATGATGTGAGCCATGCTGAAACACAAGTTTTAGGGAGAAAGTGAGTTTAGGAGTGTCATCATTTCAACCAAAATTTGGTTGTTTTTTTTTTCTTACTGCATACCTGAATGTGCTGAAGCAAGACTTGTTTGCTCTTTGGAGCATCTGGACTGGCACCTTTGTTCATTTCCACTCTTGTGGGTGTCCATACAGAATTTGGGAAGCTTTGCTACAGCCTGGGCTTAATCTCAGGAGCTCAAGTAACAACAGGAGTGATAACACAGACGTGGGCCCTTGAGGAACCTGAGTACCTGCCCTGGGTTTGCTGCTCCTCTGCAGGTGCTACCTGAGCCAGGTAAATTATAGCCAGAATGGGTTTCCTTAAGGTGCTGCAGAAACACCTTCCACTGGCAGTATTTAGGTCACCACAAGGGCCTCGGTGTGTTTGAATAATGCCAAGATTTTAAAGTGTTGCGATATCGCTTGAGATAAAACACTCAGATCAGGTGTTTTCCAGCCAAATTCCTGATTGCTACTGATTTTATTGTGCTAAGAGAAATAAATATATTACCATTTGATAGAAATAAACAAGGGATGTGAATTTCTAAACTCATTATCCTGTGCACATATTAGCCGTGCCTGAAAGGCTGAACTCCTTGTTCTCATACAGACCTGATGATTTTATGATAATATCCCATTTTAGCCATAGAGCTCTGAGAGCCAATTTGAATTTCTTTATTTCTTGGCAATATAACTGTCATTATCCCATGCATTTTGTACTGAGGAAATCATTATGTGGCAATCTGCTAACTTGCTCTTTCTGCTCTTCATTCCTTCACATGGAATATTGTTCTTTGTGAAGGTGATTCTCCCCACCCTTGCACAAATCAAGTGCAATATGGAGCGTGGAGGGAAATCTATCCTCAAATTTAGCCCTGAAATAATTACATTTTCTGATCATATTTTTTGGTGGGAGCACAGGTAAATGGAGTTATAAAGCTGTACCCCACAGCCACTTGCCTGCAGTCAAAGAAAATCCTCTGTAGGCAAAATAAGACACTGCAGAGGGCACAGGTTGCCAAATTGAACTGATAACCTCCCAATCAGGTATTGAACAGCAAATTGATTATGATGTATTGGCTGCTGTTCCCACTTCTGCTCAGGCTTTTCACCTGAAGTGGTTGCTAGGTTAAAAACCAGAACAAATTCTAGGAGCAGAAAATAGAAGTGAAATTCCTGTCTTTGAGCAACGAGGGAACACAGTTAAGCCTCTTGCTCTGTTCTGTGTGGTTTATTTTGCTCTGCAGCTCATTTTTACCAAGAATGGGAAGAATCCACCCCCCAGTGCCTCAGCCTGTCACCTGGGAGGATGCCATGCTCCAAGGTAGAGAGAGATGTCTGGACTCTCACCTGGATGAGCCTGGAGAGTGTTTTCTCTTTCCTGGGTATTTCTCCACCACCCAGATCAGCAACTAACATCAAATATACAACAACCAACCTTGACACCCACGGTGCTAAACAGAAATTGTTATTGCTCCAATCCTTCAAAGAGCTCTGACAGATTCCTAAACCCCAACCTGTGGGTCTGGGATCCTGAGCTGATGGAAACACCTACACTGGCTATGCAAAGTGATCTCCTACAGCCCTCATTTGATGTTTCCTTCTCCCTGGTCTGCTCCCAGGTGGGAGTTTCCACTTGCCCTTGGGAAGTGTCTCTCTCTGGACTATAAATAGAAGGACAAGGTACCTGACTCTGGAGATTCTGTTGCACTGTGGCAGCTGATACCCAAAAGCTGGATGTTGTAGCACATTTAGAAGCTCCCAGCTTTCACAAAAATGCAAACTAGCAATGTCAGCATGCAGAGTGCACTTGGGAACACAGCCTGAGTGGTTTTATCTCAGCATATCTGTACATCCTCTGTTATTTAGGGGGTGTTTACACCAAATGTTCCCTGCTGCTACAGATTTCACTCACAAACCTGCTCCAGCACTGCAGGTGAAAGCATCCTCAGCTGGCTTCTTTCTTCAAAGCCCAAGGCCACATTCTTAAGCATATCACACTTCTTTCCAAACAGACTCAACCCTTCTTAGTTTTCTTCCAGAGGCAAAAAGGAGAGTGGGAGTTAACCCCAGAAGAAATGCTGGATTCAACCATAAGCCAACCATAAGCTGAGTTGAGACCAAACTTTTTTTGTTTCTAGAGATTTTGAGTGGGTTGCTTTGGGGAAATTGTGTTTTTTTATCATAACCCTTGAGCAAAAGCAGAGGAAGAAACCACTTAGTGGGGTGGGATTAGATGAAGTCTCAGCAGCAAGAAGTAGGTTTCTGAGTTAGGCCAAGACCATTTTCCTCTGTAAAGAGCATCCTTTTCCCTACTTGCACAACAATTCCAGTTTTTTTTTGTCTCCACTGCCCAGGCACACAACACCTCCTGTGGAAGCTGAATGGAACTGCTGGAGTTGTGTCTCGTGGTTAAAATTAATACAGCCAGTAAGGGACAGTTTCTTCTCTTGGTTTAGGGAGTACAACACAAGCTGTGAGGAATATGACTGCTAATCAAGATGGAAACAATAGAAGAGCTGTAAGGACTTGGTTAATCCTCTTTGCTGTGACAGAGTTAAACTTCTCCAGGTCTCTGATAAGATAGGACTGGTTTACTTTATCTATTTTTTTTTTTAATGTTCAAGGCTACTGAAATGCAGAAGGGCCAGATGGCCATTTAAGCTAAACAATGTGCAAAATCTTTCTTATATTATCACTAACTGCCCCGAGGGGGTGGGAGGAGAAAGGTTGTTTAATCATTAGAAGTCACTTAGCAGCAAATGGCAGTTCACTGTCTTTATCAATTTACAAAAAAAGATTGGGGCCATATCTTTGTGAGGCCTTTTTCTAATATGACAGGGCACATATTTCATTCCCCTCTAAGTCATCTGGGGATGTCTTGCATCTCACTGCATGTCACCAAACTGTGGGACCATGCTAGTAAATAGGGTTTTTTTTCCATATGCATTTGGTCCTATATCAAAACACAGAATTTTTCCCTGGAACACAGGAAACTACTGTGTCAGCAGCAGCTAAATCCCGTTGTTGTTCTGTGGTTTGTTACAGTTCAGAGGAGAAAGTACTGGAGGGGTGAGAACACTAGGGTCTGTTTTCTGTCCTGTCCTCATCTAGTATTTGACCTTCAGCAACTCATCTCACCTCTATCTTCCCTCCCACCCTCGGTTTGTATATCATGGCCATAGTCAAC